GAAGAAAGTGAAATCATTAGGAGGGAAAGGAGGAAGTGGTAATGTCTATTTTTCTTATCCTGGTGGTGTAGCCATTACTCCAGACAAATTCATTCTTGTATCTGATAGGCACAGGATCCAGAAGATAAGCATGGATGGATACCTTATAGCATCAGTTGGTGAGGAGGGCAGTGGACCACTACAATTCAATACTCCTGATGGTATAGCCATTTCTCCTATAACAGGACAGGTTTATATTGTTGATTGGCGTAATCATCATATACAAGTCTTGAATCCTGATCTAACCTTCTCTCATTCATTTGGTAGTGAAGGATCAGCTAATGGACAGTTTCAGTCTCCACGTGACATTGCTATTGACAGTCAAGGATTAGTGTATGTTACTGACTATAGTAATCATCGCATTCAGAAGTTCTCTCCAGATGGAAAGTTTGTAGGTCTGTTTGGTACTAAAGGATCTGGTCCTGGACAGCTTATGTATCCCTATGGTATAACAATAGACACTGCAGCTACTGGTCTAGTGTATGTTAGTGAAGCATGGAATCATCGTATATCAGTCTTCACTAGTGATGGTGTGTTTGTTAGGAAGTTTGGAAGTTATGGCAGTAATATTGATCAGTTTAATCTTCCTTATGGATTAGCATTTGATAAAGATGGATTCTTGTATGTTTGTGATTTTAGTAATAATCGTCTTGTTGTTTATTAGTTATTAATTATTTCTTTTATATTGTTAATGATCATTATTAGTTAATTATATACTGATACAGTCACTGGTATGTGTACTGAGAAAACACTCAACATAACTTTAACAGCACTGCAATATCCTAATAACTAGGAGAAGAAATAATTTCTCCTTTTGAAACTATATAATTAGAATACCTGTGCTTACTTTAAGATGTGTACAGAATTACAGATGTGTGTGTAGAGGAATCTTGGTATCACATAAAATTTTTAAAATTAAAATATTAATTATTCCACAGTCCACGTACCCTCTCCCTTTCCTTTCCCCCTACTATACAGATCCCCATGAGTGCTACAGTTCAATGATCATTAGGAGCCCTAGCCCTGAGACACGTACCACTGGATACACTAGACCTTCATCTCAGATCAGCTACTTATCAGAGGATCTACAGACCATACCATCAGTTGAAGTAAGAGCAGCAATATAAGTACCTGCAGCCCCTCTGGAGGAGGTGTGTGTGTATAAGTAATGTAATACCTGAGGACTGAGATATCTGCTTGAGGTGAAGCTGAGGGCAGATATCAAGGGACTCAGGTATTACATTACTGATACTCACCTCCAGACACACACACACACACACTGGTCACTACTGTATCTCA